CTCCAACTGTACTGGCGGAGCTTTTTACTGATATTACTTTGCTGCACTATTAAATAAGATTGTTTAAAAAACTAAAGAATGTGAAAATGCTTAATCTGAAAATGTTTATTTAGCCACGCCGATCTTGCCACAGCGTGAGCGTTTGTCATCGGTTTCAGAAGATCTGCTTCACTTAGGCTCCACTCGGGAATTTCCTGCGATTTCACAAAGCGGCGGTGAGCGCAGCTGACCGGCCACAGACTTAGACCATGTCGACAGAGAACGACTTCGGTCGTACTGCCGTCACTGTACTCGCATGAACAAATGCAGTTCTTCGACTTCCATCGAATGGGGCTTTACGCTGCCTGTTCATTTCACGCCGTTGCTTAAGACAAGAACTTCAACATTACGCAAATTGTTTTGTCTCTTTTCATGCTTTTTTTTATTTTTGTCATGTTTTTTTTGTGATAATCGTGGTTCTGTCTTATTTTCAGAACCAATTTGGCGCTTTGTACACGTCACTCGTTGTTTCGTGTCATCTGTGCCATAGCATTGACGAATTTTTCTTTCAGGAAAATCATGTTTACTTGTTAACGTTTTTATTTTTTATTAAAATGTAATTGCTGTCGTTGGATTGCACTGAATTGCTAGTTCATGCGAGTGAAGAGGATGAATTTTTGAAGAACAGGGCACGTTGCAAGAAGAACCTACGTCACTGACCACAGGGACATTAGACATGGTTTCGTAAGAGTAACCGGCGCAAAGACAGACCTTCAGATCAGTGTCAGAATGAGGTGAAAAGTTCGTTGGTTCAAGATGGATACGAAGAGCAAAAAATTGAAGTCTCTGGCAAAGTCTCGTTCAGCGGTGGATTGAAAAGTCCTGATGATTATAATAATGATTGATTCATGCGTTGATCTTACTGTTATTTCTGAGAAAAACAAAGCATCTCGTTCGTGGCATAATTTTCAGTCTGACGTCATTTCTGCAAAAAGGTGTAAGACAACTCTTGCACGTTTGTTATTAGGCCTTCATAAGTTATCGACAGATTCGAGAATTGATGCCGATGAAACTAGCAGACTATCAATGCCATACTGACATTTCGTTTATTGAAAGGTGCATGCCTAACAATGACCGGAAATTCCATCATTGTATTTGCAAATTTTGGCGCCAGTGTAGAAGGCAACTGACTGGCATTCCTGAATTTTTTCGAAGATGCTCGACAACTGGCCCTCTCTTCAAACCAGAGGATGAATAAAATATCGTCGTCGTCTCTAAGAGTTATAAGTACACGGGGTGTGGAAGTAACTTCATGAAATGGGAGAACCGGAATATTCTGTGTTAATGTCGTCATATGATAATCGATTCTACCTGTTAAAGAAATTGAGCCTCCACCATGCAGATCTAAGCGATATATTGTTTCATAGTGGGAGAAAGCGATAACAGTAACAGATGACATTGAAATATGACTCATGACGCTATCAGAGTTTTAGAGTGGTGGTAGTTCAAAATAACGTCGGTGCTGAAACTATTACTCATACTTACCATAATCACAGTTCGGTAGTAGTGTGTCGTTGAGCAATATAGAGCATCGGTCGTACTACAGAACGGGAGCCGGTGAGAAGTGTCATCGAAACCGCGGCAGACACAAACCTTAAGGGTGACAATTCCATTGATAAACAATAAAAGACAGCAATTAGTGAAGATCCTTTCATGTTGGAGGAGTAAAGTGTTGTCTAACATACTCCGGTCTGCGAATGAATACCTTGGCACATAAGGATCAATATCTCGAGGTAGCGAGATATATCTGAAATTGTAGGTGTTAAGAT